TAAGGAGAAGAAGGGTTCCGTCTAGAGGAACTAGTTGCCATCAGATGCTCCCTGAGTGCCTCAGGGAGTTGAGCCTGTGCTCTCTGGGTGGGCATTAGCCTTGGGAAAAAGCCTGCTATGCCAGTAATCAGGGTGCTCACAGGCAGTCAGTGGCTTCTCGACTACGGAGAGTTTGGAGGAGGGCATAACGGACATTGGGGACATGGTGACCAGGCCTCTGGAAAACTCTCATCTCTCCACACTCTAGCTCAGCTGCTGGGCAGGCCCCCATGGCTGCATAATCCCCTCCTGGGCCACCTCCACCACATCGCTGATTCATATATTCACAGTCCTCAGCTGGTGTTGTGCCAGTAGTGGACATTATGGGCACAGAGTTGACAGGACAACTCTCTGTGCTGCCCAGAGAGGCACTGAGGTCTGATCCCACATCCATGTACTCATAGCCCAGTTCCTTAAGAGAACTGGGCTGAGGGGGACGAGACGGACTGGGTCTTCTCCTCTGGTTCATGTATCCATACACCTCATCTTCATCTTCTTCTTTAGAACCCAGGACAGGACTGAGACCCACTGAAGAAAGAGTAGCTTCTCAGGAAGAAAGAGTACCTTTGGAGTGTGTATCTGGCATGAGATAACCATTGACATCCTCTTCCTCTAGCCCTGGTGGGGCAAAAGGGGTTATGGGCATAAGCAGGCTATGGTGCTACGGTAGGCACTATTTCCCATCCATCATGGGCTGCGGTTCCAGCTCTGGCTCCTGCCCACCAACACCTTCTCTGGGAGCTCAGCCTGAGAGCCTGTCAAATGACCTTCTGATGATTCTGAGGCCAGGTGGCCCCACAGCACTGGGTTCAGAGAAACCAGATAAGGGCACTACCTCCACGAACTACAGACTCCTGGCAAGTCTCTCCAAGAACACTCTGATTCATAGGCATGTATCCAAATGATGGACTTAAAAGGCTCTGGCTCCCATGTAGTTGAGTAACAGTTCCAACCTGTAGGCTGAGAGCAGAGCCTAGTGTGGCTGCCAGGCTGTTATCTTCCGTCTCCAAGTCTAGGTCTCGGTCATGTTCTGACTCCAGCTCTACTTCCTCCAGTTCCTTGGTTGTCAGAGCAGAGGGTGCTGCCCTAGGAGTTACACCAGGCCTACTCTCTCTTTATGACTAGATACCATGGGTCTCAAGCCATCCTGGTAAACTCATTGGCTAGCTTTTTAAAGGTTGGGTGAATATTTGCATCAATCATCCAACACTTGACCAAGATCCTGTAGATACTAACGGTACAGATCTGGGGCTGTGCCAACTGTTCCCCCTTCTCCAATAGGTCTGGTACTTCTGCTAATCGCAGTCCTGCAAAGGTCTCTGCATTGAATGTCACCAGCTCCAAAACCGTCACACTGTAGCTCCAGACATCACTCTGGTGTGTGTAGTTTCCAAAGCAAACATTCTCAAGAGCCATCCACTTAATTGGAGTCTTGGCTTTACTCTGTAGGAGCTGCTTATCATCATCTGAGGGCAGCAGGTCAACCATACCAAAATCTGCCACCTGAACCTGACTGGGTGACTTGAGTAGCACATTGCAGGCAGCTGGGTTCCTGTACACCATACCATGCTCTTAAGACAAAACAAGTCCTTAGCAATTTGTACTCCTCGGTTGAGTAGCAGCTGTGGCCCAAACAACTCCTGCTGCTGCCTCACAGGATCCAGCAGGGAACCCAGAGGCAGGTATCGAAGGATGAGCTGCAGAGATGACCCTGGGCACAGTACCAGCAGCTGTGTGATGTGGGCCTGCTCTAGGCTGCCTATGGTCAGCATGTGATCTGTCATGGCCTGAAAACTGTCCACTCTTGTCCTCAATGACCTTAAATCCAGACTGGAATCTTGATGGATTCACCCTCAGGGATCCACACACCCTTGTGTAAGAGTTCCAAAGATGCTGGAACCAAGCACTTTAAGTTTCCTCAACTCTGTTTCTTTGAAGATTCTGACCAAGACTTTGTTAGCCTTCTCATTGGATCCAGAGGCTTTATGCTCTCACCACATTCCAGGTAGTGCCTCTCAGCCCTTTTATTCTGAATAGAGAAAAGTGTCCCCTCCCCGGATCAGGAAAATCACTGCCAATCCTACTGTCACAACCATGCCAGATGAGTTTTTCTGATTAGCACCAGTGTTTGGTCTAAACAATCTTGTAATTCTGTTCCCTTACACTCCTGAGTGCAGTTCTCATGGCAGGGCCAACATTCGCTGTGACCATCCGGATACTTATAGATAGAGCCCTTAGCACCTAAAACTCCACTGCGACAGCTGCTCACACAGTGGGGGCCATCTTGAAAGTGGGCACACTGAACACAAGTATCATAGCCCGAACCATTGCACATGGCAGTGCCCCCCATGGGTTGGCATTCCGGGTAGCAGGAGAAGCATTCGGCCTCATGGGCAAACTCACGAGGCTCCCCATTCAGAAAGCTGCAATGGGTCACACAGACACCTCTTCAGCTGTAGTTTCCACAGGATAGGCACTGACTGGGGTCTGGGACCCAGCATCCCCCAAGGGAATACCATGGTCACACACTCTGCCCTCTGCCACACACTCCCTGCATGGTTGATTATGCTTGATGTCAAGTCTCTGTTCCTCAGGCCCCCAGAGCATCTAGGTTCAGTTCAGAGAATGGTGGCAGCACTACTGCCAATTGACACTTACAAAGATATGCCCAGCACTAATCTCCTACAGGGGTTGGAGGTTCAAAGACGTCAATATTCAAGTTCTTCATGTTCAACAAGGAGAAGCCCTGGTTGTAGAGGCTTCTGCCTCTGATGGTCGTCAGGTTGGGAAAAACACTGAAGTCGTGCATGTGGGGAGGCCAGGATTGTGTATTCAGGTAGCCTGAGGGGCTGGGGAGAGGAATGTGAGCAGGGAACCCTTGCCTTCCTTTCCCAGGGCCTCTGGCCCTCACAACATTTGTTTTTTAATCTCACTATTATATAGAGATATAATCACAGTATATGAGAAATCTCATCATCTAGGGAAAATTCCCACTTTTTCTAATCTCACGTTAACTGTACTCTCCTTCATTCAGCATGTGTTGAGCACACACTTTGGTGACTTTGTGCTGGATCCTGGCAGATAACCAGAGACAAGGACGTAACCCACTGTGCAGACGCTGAGGAATAGTAAACCCATCATGATGTGATTTGTGTTCTCACACCGCAGATTTGCCAGCTGAGGAGGCAAGCAGGTGAGGAAGATGGGAGGGGAAGGATACTCGGGTGAGCAGGTATTGTATGGCAAAGGTCTGAAGGCTTGGAGAGTGGAGTAAATTGTAACTGACAGTGGTTCCTAGAACACAAATAAAGAGCGATTTCAAGAACTATATGGGACATAGAACCCCTCATTATACAGTTTCCTGGAGCTAGGAGATTTTCAGGATTTTGTGTATTTATTTTGAAATGCAGAGACAGAGAGACACAGAGATTTCCCATCTGCTGATTCACTCCCAAAATGCTAGCAATAACTGGGGCTAGGCCAAAGACAGGAGCTGGAAACTCAATCCACAACTCCCAGGTAGATAGCAGAATCCAACTACTTCTGCCATCACCTACTGCCTCCAAGGGTGTGATGTACACTAGGAGGAAGTCGAAATCAGCTGCAAGCCCAAGCAGTCTAATACGGGATGTAGATGTTCCAAGCAGAATATTTACTGCTGTGGCAAATGCCTTCCCTAATCTTAAGGGATTTAACATGAGAATGTCTAAATATGATCGGACTGTTTTAGAACTTTTTGTGAGAAGGCTGAGAAAGCTGAATGGAAGAAGAAATTTGGATGCTATATATATATATATAGAGAGAGAGAGAGAGAGAGAGAGAGAGAGAAATCAGGAGGCTAACTGTTGTTTGTATCATAGGACAAAGTATAAGGGTCTGAATAAAGACATGGGCTGTTATGGAAGTTGAGAGGAAAGAAAAGGGCTAAGGGATGCTAACTCTTCCCTAGATCCCAATCCTGCCCATGTGCTCAAAGCACTTTTCCTCACATTTTTCACTACTTGTATCTCACATGTATTATTTGTTAGTAATCAAAAAACAATTAGCTTCCATTAGCATTATTGTGTTACTACTTCACATCAGGAAGATAGTGCATTCTATGCATTGCCTAACTGTTGCTTTATTAATAAGGAATCTGAGGCGTGCAGAGTTGAAGCAACTTGCCCAAGGTCACACAGCACGTCAGTAGCAGAGATAAGACCCAAAGTGCCTTTGTCTGAATCCAATGCTTGTGCTGCAACTTCTCACCCCTCACCCCTGCTTCCTGTTCTTTCAGTTCTCATCCTCCTTGAGTCCAGCCTTTTAATCAGAGTCTATCCTCCTGCCCATTCTTAGAAGAAAACTTTAGTCGCCTCTACTCATTCCAACTGCTGTTCAGTCTATACACTGCCATGTAAAGCTGGTCTTGAATCTATAGTAATAGCCATCTTCTCACTAGCCATTTTCTCTTTAAATGTCAACCATTTAGTTCCTATACCTTTTAAATTGACTCACACTAATTATTTTCATGACATGCAAAACATTTCTCCATCCTTTCTTCTCTCGTGTCCATCAGAGTACTTTGTGTTATTAACCACTCCTTTATTCTTCACATTGTTTCCCCCCGTAAGTATTGTCACTCTCTTCCCCCACTTGCTCCTGGGTGACTCTGGCTGCCCTTTTCTGCTTGGCAGTACCCTCCTGAGGGAAGTTCTTCTCTGTCCTGTACATGCTGGAATTTGTTACCTTCATAAATGTATTTATTATCCTCAAGTTACTCTTTGTGTGACTATTTTAATTATCATGACAAAATGAAAATATCTATCTTCCTGTCTTAATGTCTCAACATTCCTTCAAGACCCGATTTCAAATCAGGTTTGAAAACTTCTGCTTCGGTGGATTATCAACAACATACATTTCACACAGCCACCCCAAACTTCCCTTCCCTGCTTAGCTGATCCCTTCCATGTCTCCTTCTGCAAGCCAACAAAGACCCTACATGGAAGAAATTTTTTCTGCTCCTGGTCTCACTCTTCTGCCCAAGCGCCATCCCCTCCAAGCTTAGAATTCCTTGTTTACGAAATTAACGCTGAGCTGACAGAATTACAGTCGGAGCCTGTGGCTGATCACTGGAGAAAAGGAGACCGGGTCCGCGGAGTAGCTCCTCCTGAATGCCTTTCTCAAGACACAGCTAGCACTCAAGTTCCTGGAGGGCAGGAACCTCTGTCCCCACTCTCTGCTGCGAGCCGCCGCCGGGGCCAGTGTGATTCAACCAGTAAACATTCCATTGAACCAGCAATTCCCCAGGCTCGCGCAGACTCTGGGAGTCCTCCTGGAGGGGATGACAGTTCTTGCGGGACACCCTTACAACGACACACAGGAGGATTCTAGAAGCGATAGGATGCAGGGTTTCATATCCAGTCTCCCTGCAAGCTTGTTAAAAACGCCACTGACTTAAAAACGACGTCCCTCATCCCCTTCCCAAGGGTCCTGAGATGGGAACTCAGACTGTGAGAAAGAAGAGCAACATCTCCACAATTTGACTTCTTGTTGTTGTCCTTTGCTTGTTGGGGAACAGAAGGAGGACTCCAAGCTCCCAAGCCTGTCTCTGCTCCCTTCTGTCAGCTTGGTCTTCAGAGCACTGAAGGAAACTCAGAAACAAACTTTCTGCCTCTCCGGCAGCTGACAGCCACACTCACAGAGCGGAGGCATTGGTCCGGGATCCAGGAGATAAAGATCGCGAAGCTTGGCGCCGCGGAGCGTTCAGGGGCAGGTGACACAGTTGTGGGTTTCTAGGAGCTGGCTTGACAGTTTCATCCCCGCCCCCTGGCAGCAGAGCGCCCGGCCGGGCTTGCACACGCGCGCGCCGCGGGCCATAAAAGCAGCGGCCAAGCGGAGACGCGGAGCTCGCCCACCGCCAGCCAGAGCAGCTGCCTCACCATGCACGTGAACGGCAAAGTGGCGCTGGTGACCGGGGCAGCGCAGGGCATAGGCAGAGCCTTTGCAGAGGCGCTGCTGCACAAGGGAGCCAAGGTAAGCGCGGCTGCCCCCAGCCCCCGACACGCGTCCTGCCACCCGAGGGGCCCCCCCGAGGAGGCACCGAGGCTGCGCTCAGCGTGCCCACCTTGCCCCTTGCAGAAGCTGCCGCTGCTGAGCAGACCGCAAAAGCGGCTGCGGGAGAACTCGAACTTTAATTGCAGCGTTTCAGGTCCAAGAGGGGGAGCGTCTTGCCATCTGTTTTTTGTTTGTGCGTCTGCTTCGTGGGCTGCACGGGACTTCCATTCCTCTCCTGTCGCCCAATAGGTAGCGCTGGTGGATTGGAATCTCGAAGCAGGTGTCAAGTGTAAAGCCGCCCTGGATGAGCAGTTTGAACCCCAGAAGACTCTGTTCATCCAGTGTGATGTGGCTGACCAGCAGCAACTAAGAGGTAAGACAGGGGAATCGATGCATGCACTCTGAACACGCTGGGAGCATGCAGCAACCGGAAGGCAGCCAGCCAGGGAACCAGCCAGGGCGGAGGGCCAGGGCCCTACCTCCTGGAGAGCAAGCTACCTTAAGCTCAGAAAGACAGCTTGGACTGTTATTTTACCCACCGACAACACAAGAGCCATAAACACTAAGAGAAGGCAGGACTGCTTGAGAAATCCTTTCATTTTAGTCATTTGGCACTACATAATGTAATCAAAACTGTGTATGCAAAGACAGCGCTGCTACAATAATTATTGAGTGATTAAAAGTACAGACAGAACTTGGAAAGTTAAAGTAAGCTAAAGGACTGTGGCAAACAACTTCTCCCAGAAAACTGGAAAGACAGAGTCCAGTGAAGTGGGGGCAGCGTTTTTCTTTTAAGCGCATTAGGCTATAAATTCAAGGATCATCCTCACGGCCTTGCCAGATGTTTGCTCCGGTTTTTCCCCTGTGATATGGTACTTTAACATAATAACAATAATAATTATACAACGTTAGAATTGCGGAAGAGAAGTCTCTATCAGCCTTTCCTCAATGCTTTCCTGTTTCTATCTGCTCACTTAAAATAGAACAATCCGCTGGTGGAATATCTGGGACAATATTGGCAGAGACAATAAACAGTCTTGTTCATATGGAAATCCAATAGATTTGCATCAAAAATCATTTTTCAGAGGAAAACAGAAAGATAAAATGCTTATATTTCACTATCTTTTCCAAGAATACCAGATTAATTGTTAAGTTCATTTTTATTCAAGAGATCAGAAAAATTCTTTAAAAGTCATTCTGATGCTCCTTTTGTTAGAATGACACTGAGGTGTGAATTTCTTTTAAAATTGTGAAGTATTCTATAGGAGAATAAAATGGACTAGTGTATTAGAAGGGAGTGTACCTATAGTTAAGAGAAATTGTTTTAAAGAAAATTACATAATTAAAATCTGAAAATGCTGATAAAAATCTATAACATAGATTACAAGCAGGAAAAGAACACAGTGCTAGTGGAAAATATTTTGCCACAGGACAATTATGTTGATTGCACATGATGTTTTTGAATCAAGAATGAAATCATGTCGAATCTATTCTGATGGAAATAGAGACAGTGTAAATCATGTGAAGGCCATTTCTTCTCCATGTATGTCGTCTCACATATGGCCACTGTTAGGGGCTCCATTGCTTTGCTTCCCAGTTTTTAAAATGAGTACCTTGGCTATAAACATATTCCTTGAGAATAAGTGATTGTGGGGGAGGAAACTCAGACACATAATAAATAACCAGGAGAAGGCATGTTGGTCATGAGAAATTCACATTTGCCTGGACACCAGCATTTATGTGCATCAAAGGAAAACAGCACTGATTCTTTTGGCTTTAGTATTTAATGTTGCCTACATCTTTGAAAATGTTACACTGAAATTGTTAAAATACAAGGTGGGGGGAAGATTTTTGAAGAAACTCTAAACATAACATTCTACACATTGACAAATTGCAGCGCAGGGAATTTAGGTAAATTATAAAGAGTGCTGTATGATATAAATGTCACCTACGGTTAGAGGATTTATCACATGAGCCCAAAACTCAATGTCATGTCACAGGAAGAGTGCATATTATACATCGGTAAGTGCAAAGTATATGTAAGGAATGTAGTGAAGATCAGAATGAGAATCAAAGAAAAGTAAAGAAAAATTAGGCATACATATAACAAATTGATTTTCTATAAAATGAGGTTGTTTTGTGGACCTATGAAGAGGGAAACATACTTGAGATGAAATGCAAAAAGAAAAAGAAAAATTAGTATTCCCTGGATGACCTTTTCTGGAACCAATTTGAGATCTTAAGAAACAGTTTTAAAATTCCATGAAAAAGTAAACAGGTTTTTTTATTGTTATTTTTCATTCCAGTACAGTGAATATGAAGGGTGCATATTAGTAAGTCTTGACAATGTTTTTAGTGAATAACTTGCATAGTAGTTTATCCATTTGAGTATTGATTAATTCATGCCTTCCTAAATTAATTTGTTAGTTGTTAATTCCATTAATTTTATTCTATCCAAGTTCACTTTGTGTTGACCTTCTTTGTTCATGGAACTTGTATGTTAATCTGGAGACCTGGGTATGCATTTCTGTCCTATGGAAGAACAACCACAGTTGTATTCTGTAGTCTCAAATAATAGAACTAAAATGAATGGTCAAATTTTAAAATCAGAACTACATAAAAGTCTGCTTTAATAAATAATAATTTACTCAATACTAACATGGTAGAGCCTAATTTGAATTGGCTAAGTAGGATTTGCAAGGATTGGGTATGTGGTTGGACAATGTAGTAAATAACATTCAGGCCTCAAATTGATATAAACTTTTCCCTGGTCGAACATAGTGGTTTTTTTTACAAACTAGTAATATACAATAGTAATATTAGTGAAACTGAGAAAAAAGTGAAATAGTAAACATTGAAGTTTCCGTAATCAAGTCAACTTAATTTAAACACTATACTTTTATTTAACAAACAAAATATCAAAACTCCCTGAAATGATCTTAATGGATCTGAATCCACAAAAAGATCTGTGCTAATATAAAACTTTATCAACACAGTATAGCTTAGTAAGAAAGGTTGTTTGTCATGGTGAAAGCTACAAAGCTCCCATCACCTCTTGAGGACAGAAAGATGATGGCTGGCCAAATGGACTTCAAAGAGCTTAGAGTTCTCAGTTCTCTAAAATTTACTCCATCAACAATCATGGAACTTTAATGTACATACAAACTACCTAAGGTTATATTAAAGTTTCTGATTCAGTAGATCCATGATGCAAAATTCTGCATTTCTAGTTGATGCTGCTTGCCCACAAGCCACATAGTGAGGAGCAAAATTTAAGTGACAGCCTTCAGGTGTAATTTTCACAACAAGGTTAGGTAAATAAAAATTAATTTCATAGCATAGGGTGTAATTTAAATGTGTATGTGGAAAATAAGAATGTTTTTCTAATGTCTTTTTTTTTTTTCAATTAGATACTTTTAGAAAAGTTGTAGACCACTTTGGAAGATTGGACATTTTGGTCAATAACGCTGGAGTAAATAATGAGAAAAACTGGGAAAAAACTCTGCAAATTAATTTGGTAAGCTATTTAGCCATGTTTATTGGCTAAAATCATTTAATAACATGATACTTATAAAGAAAGTAAAATATTATAAAATATTAATTGAAACAAAGCAAGGATCTACATTCAACAAATCTATAACCTAAATAAGCTAAAAAAGCATGCATTTCCTTTTATAAATAGTACAATATTTGAATGTTAATTATGAAAATGAGCCTGTCTTAAAATAGTAAAAGGAAAGATGAAGAAAATCATCAGTGATTGCTTAACTCAAGGTTCACACACTACAATCCACAGGCTAAGATGGCCTGCATCTGTTTTTTTTGTTGTTGTTTTGTTTTGTTTTGTTTTTAATTTATTTATTTATTTGAAGGCAGAGTTAAGAAAGAGAGAGAGAGAGAGAGAAGTCTTCCAACTGCTGGTTCACTCCCCAGATGGCCAGAATGGCAGAATCTGGAGCTATCCAAAGCCAAGAGCCAGGAGCTTCTTCCAGGTCTCCCACATGGGTGCAGGGGCCCAAGAATTTGGGCCATCTTCTTTTGCTTTCCCAGGCCATACTAGAGAGCTGCATTGGTAGTGGAGCAGCCGGGACTTGAACAGGCACCCATATGGGATGCCAGCACTGTAGGCAGCGACGTTACACACTACACCACAGCACCACCCCATTTTTTTTAAGATGTAATTTTTCATTGATTTAAAAAGCAGAGTGATAGAGAGATGGGGAAAGAGAGAGAGATGAATATGTACCATTTGTCAGTTCATTTCCCAGATGGCTGCAAGGTCTGGGGCTGGGCCTAGCCAAATCCAGGAGCCAAGAGCTTTATCTGGGTCTCCCATGTGAGTGCAGGGGCCCAAGGATTTAGGCTGTCTTCTGATGCTTTCCCAGGCACATTAGCAGGGAGCTGGATTCCAAGTGGAGCAGCTGGGATGGGAAAAGCCATCTGTTTTTATAGGACTTGCAAGCTAAAAGTGATTTTTACATTTTAAAATGGCTGAAAAAGTCAAAATAAGAATCACAGGAAATATATGAGCATTTAAAATTTAAATTTCATCATCTATAAAGTTTTATTGGAACACAACCATAATCGTTTGTTTATATATGGTCAATGGCTGTTTTCATGTTACAATGGCAGAGTTCAAAGCTGTGACAGAATCTCAATGGCATACAGTGCTTAAAATATTCACTATCTGACCCTTAAAAATAGTTTGCCAAGCCCCACCTTAAGTTATTTATTTAAAAACATAAATCTTAATTAACTTCTAGGAATGTAATAGAAAACAAAGTTAAAGTGGTCATTGAAGTTTGTAGTGAGTAAGAGTTTTATACTGAAATTTGAAATTTGTGTATGTATAATTTCCATAATGTTTGGTGGTTATTTAGTTCTTACTTAAATTATAATAAGGTAAGAAAAAAATTTTTGTCTTGCCCATTGCATCACAAACTTGTTGCTTCTCTCCTTTTATGAACCTTCTTTATGTAAGATAATAGAGTTCAATAAAACTTATCTAAAACAAAATGTCTGATGAGTTGTCCTGGGATTGCTCTTAGGAAAGTCATTCTCATTAGTCTTTCAAAGTATAAAATATAATGTTTAAAGTAGGATGTGGCTACTATGTGTGTATAAATGTACAGGGAGTGGCTTCTACTTCATAATATGCTTCTAAAGGATCACAAACTCCATTAAAATAGGAATTGTGTTGTGTTTTTCTTTGTTTCTCTCTCAGTAATCAACACAATATCTTGATGATAATGTTTGTTCAATAAATGTCTGGCTTAAATTGAAACTCCCATGAGTAATTACCTCACTATACTAACTTGGTGGAATAATGAAACTTAAACTACCTCACAAAAGGAGCTGAATCTGAGAGGCTTGATGAGGGTGCAGAGTTGCTCTCCAAACTTGACAGATTCCTAAAATTCCTTTAAGAACAAAATGTACTATTTTACAGAACAAAAACTCTCCTGCAGTTCTCTTGAAAATGCAACTTCTGTATTATTGGTTCATTAGTTCTGAAATATCTTTAAAAACTATTTGCCAAGCTTTCCTCAAAATCTTTCTGGAATTCTAATTTTAAGTATGAATATATGTTTGGAGAGATCTGATGGTTTTTTTCCTATGTTAAAAAATTTTATGATTTCCTTCTACTTTAGCATTTAATGTAGTAAAATAAATTGAAATATTTTCAGACTGTGAACCATAAATACATCTCTTGGCTAAAGTTTATTTTATTATGATACATAGCTTTTAAAACACCATTGAGTGTTATTATTTAATATCTAAATATTAAACTTGTGTCTCTGTGTTAATAAATTTTACCTTGTGATTTTCTTTTCTCATGATATCTCTCTTTCTATGTAATTCAAGTCAGTTATACTTGACTTGCTTTTATAGTCTTGATCTGTTTCTACAAGAGCTTACCCACCTCTTGTAGAAATTCTGTCAACTTAGACTCTCTGTATAGTAAACCTATAATATTCTGGGTATACATTAAAAAGTATTGGTCTTTATTTTTTAAAAAGTTATAACCCAATGTGCCACCTATGATGCTGCCAATCTGTTCTATATTTCAAGGTATAAAATTAATATCCCATCATTTTCTTTTGATTCATATTTACCTATGTATATGTTTTTCTATTATTTTGAAAATATACATGATCTTTTATGTTAAATCTGTCTCTTGCTGACAATATATTATGAGATGTGTTTTTAAAATTACTGCTGGGAATATTTTCCTTTTTTGTATTTGTGAATTTAGGCCATTTATTTTTATTTATCTATTTTTATTATCATATTTACATTTTTAAAAAATTATTTTCAGTTCTTCCCTAAATCTACTTAATAGCTTTAAATTTTGTCTGCTGAAATGAAAACTACTTTTTAATCTACAGTGGTTATTCCTGGTTTATTAAGACCCATTATAACCTTTGATTGCTTGATAAGATAAAAAATTTGAAAAGACAACCAAATGAGAACTTCAGAAATTTTAAAGAATATGTTTTTATAAAATTATGCCACTTTCCAAAACCACATAAAGTGAAGAGAATTTTTATTAGTCAAGTCATACCAGTCCAAAAGCACAAATTGCAAGGCAGTTTTCTCTACCAATACTTTTAATAGCTTTGTGAGTAATAGCCGCAAATATAATCATAGACAAGATTCCAATATTCAATGAACTCATAATGGACATGCTTACTGTGTCTTTTCTCTGAGAAATAGTTGTCACAAATAGTGTGCAATGGTTAGAGTTAATTTAAAGATACATGAAAAGTAGTTAGGCAATTATCACAAATGTACAAGATTTGAATCTTCTGCCTCTATCTAGTTGGGAGGAAATGTTTGCCCTTGTCCTTGATTTCTTTCTCTCTTATTGGCGGAGTGGACAGTGAGAGAGAGAGACAGAGAGAAAGGTCTTCCTTTGCCGTTGGTTCACCCTCCAATGGCCATGGGGTGCAGGGCCCAAGTACTTGGCCCATCCTCCGCTGTACTCCCGGGCCACAGCAGAGAGCTGGCCTGGAAAAGGGGCAACCAGGACAGAATCCAGCGCCCTGACCGGGACTAGAACCCTGTGTGCCAGCACCGCAAGGCCGAGGATTAGCCTAGTGAGCCACGGCGCCGGCCAGGAAATGTTTGCTTTTATATTGCCTATGTGAATATGTACCTCCTCTAAGTTGAAACATATCTATATCTTCTAAAAATTGAAAATTCTAAAAGATCAGAGAAATTTTATTGTAACCCCTATCCTTAAAACTAACTTTCCTGGATTTTGCCTTCCTGCATTAATTTTTTTTTTTTCTTTTTGGACAGGCAGAGTTAGACAGTGAGAGAGAGAGACAGAGAGAAAGGTCTTCCTTCCATTGGTTAACCCCCAAAATGGCCGCTACGGCCGGCGCACTGCACTGATCCGAAGCCAGGACCCAGGTGCCTCTTCCTGGTCTCCCATGTGGGTGCTGCGCCCAAGCACTTGGGCCATCCTCCACTGCACTCCCAGGCCACAGCAGAGAGCTGGATTGGAAGAGGAGCAACCGGGACAGAACTGGCACCCCAACTGGGACTAGAACCCAGAGTGCCGGCACCTCAGGCGGAGGATTAGCCTAGTGAGCCGCAGCGCCGGCCTCCTGCATTAAATTTAACCAGTCTTCATTTTTCTTGGAGCACTGCTGAAATAGGCCACTTCTTAGTTTAACTTTAGGGATTGATAACCTTTGTTTGATTTTACATAGAGAAAATAAAACATAACCTTTGTGAACCATATGTAACTTAAAAATATCACTTCCCCTCCTACAATCATTGCAAGGGTAAATTAGAGTCTGACCAATCATTGTCCTTTCAACTTGATTATCTGTGTAAGTGTAATGCAAATATTTGTGTGTGGTCTATATACTGATTTTATTTTTTAGACTTTGCCCTGGATATGATTTTCCTCTTTGGGTCTTATACAATTCTACATTTGTACTTCATATTTTTTTATGTTGCTGCCCATATTCAGAGTAACCACTTAAAGAACTTTGCACCTGTCTCACCCTTTTCTGAAATCTTGTACACAACATTTCTGCCATTTTACAATATTATTAGGATTATTTTTATAGATATATCTTATGCTAGTCAACTGTAAGTTCTTCCAAAGAGATTAAAACTATTGCTTTGTATCCTTACAGAGTATATATTCAATTAATATTTATTGGGTATATTGCTAATAAATGTTATTTTGCATATGCAAGTATTCATTTCTCTGTTTTCATACCATGTTTATGTCACTCTTCTTTTTAAAAAATTAGTTCAAGAGACAAACAGAGAGAAACAGAGACAGACACAAATAGAGTTCCCATATGTTGGTTCACTCCCCAAATGTCCACAACGGCAGGGCTGGACTGGAGTCAGAACCATGAATCAGAAACTCAATTCATGTCTCCCAGGTAGGTGGCAGGGACCCAAATACTTAAACCATTACCTACTGCCTCTCATGGGTATGTATTACCAGGAAACTGGAATCAGAGGCCAGAGCCTAGCATTTGGATATTGGACACTCAGATGTGGAATGTGGGTGTCTTAACCAGCATTTTAACCACTAGGCCACACACCAACCACCAGGTGATTCTTTTATGCATCAGTGCTGCCAAATGGTACTGCCTGTCCTTCCACCTTTACTACTTATCAAACTTATTCCTACTTTATTCTTCATTTTGATCTCACCACTGTTGCCATTCGAGATACACTAAACCTCTTCTAGTCTTTTGTTTCCATTGGGTTTTTCTATGCATTCTCCTTTGCCTAAGGCTAACAGTAGTGCTATTAATTACAGCTTCATTATTTATAACTCATAAAGAATGTTCAGAAAAGAATGAGTCTTTACAAAATAACCAAAGAACACTGGCAATTGGGCAGAGTTAGATTTGTCCTTGGATATTGATAAGGCAATTCTGTACTGCACTTCTTTAATTTTTCCATGCTTTAATGAACCTAAATAGTTCATTCTCATTCAAGTGGGATTTATAATACAATTTTGACATATAACTAGCATATATGAAATTCCTTAGTATATTCAAATAAATTTTTTTACTTATAAGAAGAATTTATTCAGTGGATCATTAAGCTTGTGATTATAAAGTAAATTGAAAGTGAGTCATCTCAAAAATTAAAAGAAAAAAGGAGAAGGAAGGAGGGGGTGGGTAGTATCATTATTTTCTTTTTTTGAGGGAAAAATTAATATTTTATTGTGGTGAAAAAATATTATAGAAAACTTTTTTTCTGTTCATAAGTTCGTGTTAAATTTTGTTTAGAAAGCTTTTATTTAATAAATATAAGATCCATAGGTACAGCTTTGGGAATACAGTGGTTCTTCCCCCCATATCCACCTTCCCACCCCTACTCCCACCCCACCTCCTACTCCCTCTCCCATCCCATTCTTCATTAAGATTCATTTTTATTTTTTTGACAGGCAGAGTGGACAGTGAGAGAGAGACAGAGAGAAAGGTCTTCCTTTGCCACTGGTTCACCCTCCAATGGCCGCCGCGGCCTGCTTACCACGCTGATCCGATGGCAGGAGCCAGGTACTTATCCTGGTCTCCCATGGGGTGCAGGGCCCAAGTACTTGAGCCATCCTCCTCTGCACTCCCTGGCCACAGCAGAGAGCTGGCCTGGAAGAGGGGCAACCGGGACAGAATCCGGTCCCCCGACCAGGACTAGAACCCGGTGTGCCAGCGCCGCAAGGCGGAGGATTAGCCTAGTGAGCCGCGGCACCAGCGCAAAATTCGTTTTTAATTATCTTTATATACAGAAGACCAACTCTATACTAAGTGAAGATTTCAACAGTTTGCATCCACACCGACACAAAAAGTACAAAATGAAATAAATTTTTAAAATAGAAAACATTAGTTGACTCAAGATTTGTGCTGGAAAAGATTTGCATTTGGAACCAGATTTCAGTCCTGCATCTGTGTATGATAGGAAGACCTGACGATGATAAGAAGAAAGTTAAAAAGTAGGCCACTACCAATTGTGCATTTACCTTTATTACTAGGGAATTATTTCTAGTATAGGGGAATATGTGAAAGCATTTTTTAAGTTATAGAATGGTTAATTCATGAAACAAAACAAGATTTGGAGTACAATAATATTTTCAGTATAATTTTCAGTTGTCTCTTTATAACCAAAAGGATTAAGTATGTTAATTAGATTATTTTGTCCATAATTCTCTACATGAAATTAGATATAAGCTCTTCTTGTCTTTGAAAGTCCAATACAAAAATTTAACTTCTTTCACAAAATGAGTTAAAATAATTGTAATGATTCCAAAAGTGATTGTATCTAGAAACATCTGTAATTTTTGATATTTGATATCAATTTGGATAATTGATATCATAATGAGTCAATCTATTATATATATAGAAGCTAAATGACCAAAAATTAGATTGTAAACTGGAAGCATTTTATTCTATGGTTATCTAACAGTTCGTCGAACATATATATGTGATCTGGAATAGGGATGAAATTACTGCAGTAAAGCACAAATAATGAAAAATATCATTCATACATAGCCAAAGCATACTATGAACAGTTTGAAATATTATTGAGCTTATAACCAAAAGCCTAGAAATATATTTTAATTTTTAAAACATAAAAATAAAGCTTAAAGATTATCACATTTTCTATGTGACTGCAAGTCATAGATTTTGGAAACACAAAAGCAAGTGTCAGCAAAGCTGGCTATAAATGCCTGAGAATGAAAGCAAAGCACCAATACCTGTAAACAACACTTCTGTTCAGGCATGCTGAAGACATGGGCAGAAACTAACTGAATCTAACTGACTTCAGCAATTTCAGCCATGTACATTTTTCCCTCTTATATAAACAGTTAATGTTTTATTTTTCCTTTATAAAGGGAATCATGGAGATGTTATTCATTCTCCCAAAGCCTATTTAACATCAAACTGACAGATAGCTTAAGGGAATATAATATTCAATTTACTTTTCTATTCTATAATCACTATTAAGTAGGGGAGGCATCTCCAAAAGCTTATTCAAGAAAGAAATAAAGAAAGAGAGAAAGAGAGAAAGAGAGAGAAAGAAATCCTTAAAGGGCTTTTTAAAATAAAAAGGTTAATACCGATAGAGGCCTTCAGTTTTAGATTCATAACATATCATTTTCTTTGCTGTATTTAAAGTATGAAAAATGTAGGAATTAAGGTATCTCTTTTTAAAGGTATGAGCTGGAAGACAGAAGAGTTCTTCAATTTAAATGGAAATAAAAGGGTTCAGAGGTAAGTTTCATTTCATAGGTTGTTGATGGTAGTAGTGAATACTCAAATGACAGAAAAAATTTAAAAACAGGGCAAATAGCTGCATGGAGGTAGATAGAAAAACAGTTAACTATCTAAAGGATAAAATTCAATGACAAACACAGTACAGGCCCTGTGGCCAAGAACAGAAAATCTCCACTCAAGCAAGATTTAAAAACCTATGATTTCTTCAAAAAGTTCAGAACTGCTTAACATTACAGATTATGGTATCATTAGAACCTAGTGTCTTTTCATCTCTCCCAACTGCAATCCTTTCACTGGTTTCATCTTCAAGATAATAGCAATATTATTGTTCATTCCAGTCACCCAACCCATACAAGGCAGTGAATAGGGGGTAATGTAACTCTTTTATCCTGGTGTTCTTAAGAACAACAACAACAAATTATCAGCAACATCCTATCCCCTATACCCAAACCCTAGCTGACTGCCCCTCAGGTCACTCTGGCCAGAACATGCTGGCTCCTAATCATCTCCTGTCAAGGAGAATGGGATTTCTTAATTTCATTTTTGTGACAGAATTAAATTAACCATTATGTACACTAAGGCTGGGAAGATCACCTTCCTCTTTATTGCATGGAGAAGAGGAGACACGAAAGCAAAATAGGACTTTTATTAGAAAAAATAGAGGAGAAAATGCAAACTATGTAGAAAATCAAAGGCATCCACTATTCTATGTTCTAACATACACAAAAAAATTAAACCAAGTAGATTAATGTAAAAGCCTTGGATATGATGCTAAGACGAAGGAGGAATAAATGTGTACTCATTATTCAGAAAAGAAAATATGTATAGAAGCCTGGAAGATGTTAAGAACTGAGTTAAAGGATAGCATTATGGTATAATGGTTTAAGTTGCCACCAATGGTCCCAGCTGCTCCACTTCCCACCTAACTTCCTGCTAATGTGACTGGGAAGGGAGCAGAAGATGGCCCATGTGGTTGGGTCCCTGTAACCCACGTGGGAGACCTGGATAAAGCTCCTAAGTTCGGCATGGCCCAGCCCTGGCCTTTGTGGCCACTTGGAGAGTGAATCAGATAATGGAAGACCTCTCTTTCTCTCTCTCTCTCTCTCTCTCTCTGTAACTCTGCCTTTCAAATTAATAAATAAAGTCTTTAAGAAACAAAGAAAAGCTGTGTGAAAGTGATAGAACGCTACTGGAGCATAATCTTTATCAAAAGTCTCAGGCGACTAAGTGAAATTTTGAAGACATATATTAAGTTCCACAACTATTGAGCAAACAAAAGAAAATCTAGGGCTAATGATGACAACCTTAAAAAAAAAAAAAGGAAAATCTTTCAAACCCTTTCACTGATAATACTTCAGAAATCTCCATAGGTATCTAAGAAGGCAATAAAAATGTTGATGGATAAATATGCAATAAAAAATAATGGTTGTTTCTTTACCCATTTGTGCCTCTGGATTAGGTTTCTGTTATCAGTGGAACTTACCTTGGTTTGGATTACATGAGTAAGCAAAATGGAGGAGAAGGCGGCATCATTATCAATATGTCATCAATGGCTGGTAAGGACAAGTATTGAGTTAGTGGTAAAAGTTTCTTACTGTAATTTGAACCATAAAAGTAAATCTTTTAAGTATATTTATTATCAAATGAAGCTTGAAATTGAAGCTATGTTGTTTTATGATTCTCTGGAATTTTCTATTGTATAACATCAAAACCTTGAACCATATGTTTATTTCTGTTATCTTAAATTTTGCATTTTAAGTTACCTCACTACAGCACTATTTTTTTTTTTTTTTTTTTTTGACAGGCAGAGTGGACAGTGAGAGAGAGAGACAGAGAGAAAGGTCTTCCTTTTGCCATTGGTTCACCCTCCAATGGCCGCCACGGCTGGCGCGCTGTGGCCAGCGCACTGCACTGATCTGATGGCAGGAGCCAGGTACTTCTCCTGGTCTCCCATGGGGTACAGGGCCCAAGCACTTGGGCCATCCTCCACTGCACTCCCGGGCCACAGCAGAGAGCTGGCCTGGAAGAGGGGCAACCGGGACAGAATCAGGCGCCCCGACCGGGACTACACCACTATTTTTTTTTTTTTTGACAGGCAGAGTGTGCAGCACTATTTTTAAAAATTATATTTATATATATACACACACATATATATTTTCCCCAAAGTAACTGTTTTTCAAAGGTAATTGTGGCACTTCTAAGCACTTAAAAGCACCTTTGACAAAGTAAAATCACTAAAGCAAAATTAAGGTATCCCTGTTCCCATGTGATTTTAATAAAAGTTCATAATTTTTTAAAAAGTCATATGTAGGAGCTGGGATATGTTAAAGTGCTATAACCTATAGACTCAAACATGTCATGGCTAATAAGCTTATTTCTCATCCATATTTCTTTCAAGGCAATATTCTTGTCTCATGTCCCTCTTTTATATATCAGTTAGAAAAATCTGGCTTATAGAAGGTATTCATCTTCAACATAGGGTCTCCAAGTGGTGGACTATTTTGTCTGTAGATAAAAGAGAAAAAGGACATGGAGGAGGCATAGACAGCAGCTCTCATTAAACCTCCAATCTAATAACAGCAAGTATCATTTCTGCTCATGTTGCCATGAAGAATTTGATCATGTAGTTCACCTAACTGCAAAAGAGTCTGCAAAATATAGTCTTAGTCTCACTGTGTGCCTAAAAGAAGAATGGAGTAGCGGACAGCTAAGTATCTTAGTTAAGCTATGCAATACAAAACTACTTTATCCAGAACAATCAATTTATTAACAACTAGTATGAGATGAAGATATGTTAGTGAAAACCCAGGGTGGGAGGAGAGGTAAGAGAGACCAGATTTGCCAATGGCAACAAGGAAGCTATATCAGTACGGTAGGTATGGAGGCTGGCATGAAAGATAAACAGTAAAAATGGAGAGGGTAACAAATCAACCAGATTGGACAAAGAGAAACTACTTATGGATCTTAAATGAGGTCACCTTCCACCTTGGAAGGAAATAAGAGGCAGAAGCAGTTTGGAATGCTACCATATTCATTAAATTGTAACCTTGCCAGAAAAGGTAATTTAAAACCCAAATAGTCATGTCATTAAATTTATATGAATTCATTGCATTATCTGCATGATAAAGACACACACATGACCCCAAATATCATATCTGAGATAGGGAAGAAGAGGATTAATACTTAGGAGTGGGTAGTGTGCCAAGCATGTTCTTAGTGAAGAAAGCAAAATGGACATCTAATCTTTTTCACAGCAAGCTTTGGCTTGTGACCCTGGTAAGCTTCCCAGATGTGTTCCGAACTTCACAATTTGTACTAAATGAGACAAACACTGAAGATTTCAATGAAGGTTTAGTAATGTAACCTTGAGATCAAAGTAATGCCCAGGAGGCCTGAAGAGACTAGCAGATTGCACTAGTCCATTCAAGTCATAACATTTATTTCTTCTACTTTCCTGTTGGTCTGAGATGATTACAGATGGAAAGACAGGTTAACAGACAACTCACAGATAGAAAAGACAGATAGTCTAGTGTTTAAGAATTAAGAAACTTCAGTCCAATTGTCTGTGTATGAATTCCAAGTCCACTGCTTACCTGCTGTCTTCATCATTTTCTCAGAAATGACATCACCGATTTTATGCTCTTGAATCTGAGCACTTAGAAAGAAGTAGGAGGACCAAAAACGTCTTTGAGGAGTTACCAAAGTATTGCTAATACTTGATTATTCCATATTTCCTAAACCTTCCTTACTCAGATGTTTTCCTCTTACTGGGGATTATCTTGAAGAATAGCTCTGGGTAATATTCAACTTAACCAGGCTCTAGCCGCATCATCTCATGCAGATTCAGTACAGTCTTTTCCTGTCATAGTTAAAGCTTAAGTTGACACACTGGTTTGGGCAGAGAAGTTAATGAGTAATGACCACTGACGCAGATAGAGTTTCAAATGTAATTAATAGATTTAACAAACAAGAGTAGTTAAAGTGGAGAGTGATTCCTCAGCGTATTGAGGGATGGGTGTGCTCCAACTCGGAGCTCCAGAGCTTGTTTTGATCATTTAACCACATGGACTCTTCTATATGAGTTTTTGTTTATGAATGCAATATACAAGCATGCACTCATTTTGTCACCTCCAGCCTTAACTATTAAAAAAAGTTGGAAGGAACAACAATGCTGAGCAAACTATGGTTTAATGCAGATATTTATGCAGTTGGCCTCTCATAAGTCATTCCTCAAGAGTCAAATATGCCTCTTTCATCTTCAGTTGCTTCAAACAGTGGAAAAGAAAAAGTAATTGTCACAGGAAAAGGAGTCTACCTACGAATCCTTCTTCTACCTACCTATATACTTAGCTCCTTGGATTTTGATGTCAATGAGGGACATTCTCTGTGCCTCAGAAACAAGCCCCACAGCGACACTTTTTTATGTTGTAGGTCTTACTTACTCAGAATTTAAAATAAATAAAATATTTGAAAATCAAATAATTGTTTAGCCATGTCTTAAATCAGAGTTCAATGACATATCCATTTGTGCTGTAAGTTTTATCTAAAATAATGACTAATTTATAAGTTGTATTAGGTGAAAGTGCTAAAATTACCACTTCAAATAATAAATTCAACTGAATTAAATATTTGTTGAGGATTTTCAGAAAGAAAATGGAAATAAAAAGTAACGACTAGGTTTCTACCCTATGATCTATAGATCAATATCTCTAAATAATTATTGTGGCACAAACTATTTAAATTAGCCATAATATTTAAGTTGCCAAGTCTTTGGGATTCCAACAGTCTGAAGAACAATAGTTGTACAGGAATGCCATAACAGACCAGAAATTTCAGGTTAGATAAAACACTGACCTTTGTCCTTTATCTCTAGGCCAAGAGTAAGAAAATTACGTTGGTACCACCATCTACAACTTCTCTTGATATAAGAAAATGGGCCTTACACATATTTAGCAACTGCCAGTACCAGACATTGTGATACACTATTGCCTATATGATATCACTTTAACTTTTAACAATCCCTTCAATAAGAATGTTTAATTACCTCCAATTTATAGTTGAAAAACTAATTTCAAAATGGCCTCATAACCTTAAAAATGTAGTGATAATTAGTAGTGGTTACATCGCTGTATTTCAATGTATGTTGTAGAATGAGTGAACTGTTCTCTCTCTTTGTTGAGCCTTAATTGCCCAGATGCCAATGGTCACCCCTGAACCCCACCTCCTGCTTAGTCCTGGTAAAGTTGTCCCTGCCAATCCATGGAGATTGGATTGGCCTAAAATAATTAAGAAGGCACAAATTAAAAGGAATCAGTAGAAAAGATTAAATATTTATTAATGAGCTCTTTGTGGAATGGATAAAACATTTAGGCTTTCTTAGTATGTGGAAGACAGGAATATTAGGAAATTAATAGCCTTGTAGAAGATATCAACATGATTGAAGTGGGTCCTGATTCTGTTCCCAAACATTGCTGATCCATTCCTTGACTCCATTCACTGTAAGAAGCTAGTTTCTTATGCATAGGGATATTCTTTGATTGATTAAGACTCCATTTCAGTTTCCTCTGACTGCAGTACAAGCAATGACTGAATTTTAGGAAGGAGGACTTTGGTGGAACATTAGGATCAACTTTCTGAGAATGAATCACTGGAATTTGCAATTGGATTTATCTTTCCATAAAGATTTTTATTGTGGAAGGTATAGAGGCTATGAAACTTTATGTCACTTTTTAATGTGATGTCACTCTTTAAAACTTAACCTATGGGCTGGTGCTGTGGCATAGTAGGTTATGCCTCTGCCTGTGATGCTGGCATCATATATGGGCACCAGTTCAAGTCCTGGCTACTCCACTTCCAATCCTCCTTTCTGTTAATGTACCTGGGAAAGCAGCAGAGAATGGCCCAAGTCCTTGGGCCCCTGTAACCATCTGGGAGACCTGGAAGAAGCTCCTGGCTTCTTGGCTTTGGATCAGCTCAGCTCTGACCTTTGTGGCCATTTGGAGAGTGAACCAGAGGATAGAAGACCTCTCTCTCCGTCTCTCCGTCTCTCCCTCCCTCCCTCCCTCCCTCTCTCTCTCTCACACACAGTCTCTCTCTCTCTCTCTCTCTCTCTCTCTCTATCACTCTGTCTCTCAAATAAATAAATAAATCTTTAAAAAAGAACTTAACCTAATGGCAGATATGAGAATGAGTGGAGGAAGAAGCATCAGATAAGATGTCTCATTGTGTAGAATATAATACAATGAGGAAGTCCATATTACTTTGTTCAGTTTTATGCTTGCACACAAAAAAATAGATCCCCATTAGTTCTTTCTTCTTCCTCATGTTAGAGAAGTAGTGGTTGAAAGCAGACAGATAGGTAGGCAGTTTATTTTCTGATGATAGAAAAACTATGAGAGATTTAGATATTTCCTTGCTAACAAAACTGCTGAGCTACAAGGATTGGCATTCTTAAATTCACATTCTGTTTCCTTACGTTGAATCATTTTTCTTATTCCAACTATTCTACTTAGTTTCCATCGATTTAGAAGGAAATGCATTTAAAGATCCAGTACAG